TGTAGAATAAATATACTATAGAATTAAAACAAACTTTACTTTTGCTAATTTGAAAATGAAATCCTTTAACTTCCTTATGAGGCAGACAGTACATTTTTAGCACTTGGAAAGAAGAGCATTTCAGATGAAAACATATTCAGTTCCATACTAAAGTGTATAATCTTTAGATGTTAATAGCATTTGTAATTGGATGTGGTGGTGCATACCTGTAATTCCAGCACTCAAGAGGCTGAAGCAGGAGTATTACCATGAGTTCAAGGCCAGCCTAGAATACATAATAAGACCCTCTCTCAAAAACACAAAACAAAGCAAAACAAAAGTCAGTGTTTGTGCTGGAATTGTTTCAGCAGACAAGGTATCAATAGTGAGGTTTGCTTTTTTGTGATGTTGGGGATCAAAATCAGGTCCTCATCCATGATAAACTGGCACTGTACCACTGAGCTACACCCCTAACCCTTAATAGTGTTTTGTTAGGCTGGATTCCTATGATAATGTATTTCTGTGGAAGTAGATACCATTCCCAATCATCTGGTCTACTGTGAGTGCCTCTAACTACAAAGTTCTGGTGGAAAGTTTAGATGGATACATGTCTAGTGAAACAAAGAAAACTATGTTACTTGTAGAATCTAGGTGATGGAATGTGGGTATTAACTTTCAACTTTTTTGTGTATTTGAAAATTTTCATCAAAACGGTGGGAAGATTAACTTTTAGAACTACTGGTTTGACTTTCTTTGCACTCTTATTTCAGATGGATGTGGTTCAATTGCTAATTGTATTAACTAATAATGTAGTAGTTAGTTAATGCAATAGGTAGTTCGAAATCCAGGTCCTAATTTTATGTATGTCTTATTTAAGATGGTGATTGTGCTGCTGCATAAAATTTGGAACTATTTTTGAGTGAAAGGCATTGTAGAGACGTGTGAAGTGTTATCATTTTACTTCCATGTAAATATTGTCAAGGTATTTCTTGACTTCTGAAATAGGGTGATTTTTCTGAGTGCTAAGGTTAAATGACAAGCTTGTACCACTCTCCATTATTTGCAAAGTGTCTGTCTTTGGAAAGCATTCACCTCCCTCTCTCTTCATAAACTTTTCCTACTCTCTTGGCTAAAAGTTTTTCATAAAGTGCATCATTTAAATGTTGATCAGAATGTGTCTCTGTTAGTTTTAGTGTGGTTATGGCAGCAGTGGGATATAGGAAAAACTTAATGCTTCTTAAATGAACAAATGAAGGCTTAGGAGAAATGGGGTAGGGGGTGTCTTTCCTTTTTTTTCTGTTAAAGATTTTTTATCCTCTCAATTTAGGATTGGATTTTTTAAAAATAATGTATAAGTTATTTGTAAGGTTACTATACTTATCTAAAATGTTTGCAAAATAGTATAGAAAGATTTTTGTATGCAAACCATTTATAGGTTAGAATTTCATAGATATAGGAGAACAGGGAGTACAGAAAACTGCTCTTAAGGCAGAGACAGGAGACATTGATGTCTCTAGGAGTGACTGCTATTTAAGGAGAAGACAAAGTTTCATTACTTACTGTCTTTGTAGACATTGTTTTGTTCTGTTTGTTTTTTTTTTTCCCCTGAAGATTCATAAAGGCTGGGTTTTTCTCTTCTGACTAAGCACAACCACTAGACAACTACAAATGGGATAGACATTATAGGTAGGCTCAATTTTTTTTTTTTTTTAATAAAAAGGCTCATAACAAAAAAGTTATAAGCAAATTTGAAGGATTATGAATAGGAAAAAATATGTGCGAGCCTGACATCTTTTAACTTTTAGACTTGTCATCTACAAAGGTGCTAAAAGAATATTATCTTTATTGAAAGATATGGGTTTATTTTTAACATAATATTAAATTGAATTAGCTATACATTAAATTGAATTAGCCATACATTAAATTGAATTAGCTATACATTAACATTCTGTATTTGACTAAATCATTATGAAAATCTGACTGATCTGAATTTTTAAAAAAAGTCATAGTCTCTGAGCCAGATTGAATGAGGGGCATAGATCTGGAACAATTTGGCCTATAATTCAGAAGGAGAATTTTGCTTTTGTTTTCTAGCTAGCACTATATTTTTACAAGCCGTGTAATGGTATTTATGTGCAAGCATGCCTTGAATTTCTCACTTTGTTTTTCTTAGCAAGTTGTACTAGCAACTTTTTTTGTTTTCTAGGTTTTTTGTGTGTGTGTCTTTTTTAAGACAGGGTCTTGCTATGCAGTTCAGCCTGACCTTGACCTCATTTTGTAGCCCTGGCTGACCTCAAACTTGCAACAGTCCTCTTGCCTCAGCCTCCCGAGTGCTGGGATTATAGATGTGCGCCACTACACCTGGCTCATCTTTTTGTACATGATTATATTTTCACAAGTTATTCTGAGAGAAGAAACAATTAGCAAATGCTAACAGATAATATGTTCGTTTCCAGATACTGGTAAAATTGATGATACTTGTACTTATGAAGTGTTCTTTGAACATATTTATTTATTTATTTTTTGAGATAGGGTCTTACTGTGTAGCCCAAGCTGGCCTCAAACTCACAGGGATCCTCCTACCTCAGCCTCATGAGTGCTGTGATTACAGGCACGCGCCACCACACCCAGCCATACATCATTTTTTGTGAAGAAAATACATCTCTGTCTCCCTTGATTATAGTCTTAAATGTCCTGGGGATATTTCCATGGTAGCCTTATTATTACTTTAATAAGTATGTATAGGAAATGAGCTATTGGTTGGTTGATTGTTCGGTTGGTTTAGCAGTACTAGGTTTGAACCCAAGGCATTCACACTGAGTTACATCCCCAGCAACTTTTTAGTTTTTGTTTTGATACAGGGACTTAGTAAGAGTCTAAGTAGCCCAGGCTGCCCTTGAGTTTGTTATCCTCCTGCCTCAGCCTCCCAGAGTGCTAGGTTTAAAGACATGTACCAGATAAGTTCCAAAGCGCTTTCAAGTTGATTTAATCTGTTGAAATGTTGTTGATAAAACAATAGAAAATGTTCCTCAACAAGGTATACACCCTTCCTGATCCAGTGGGTATTATGTGAAACTGCCCTTTTTACTTAAAATATTAGGAGACAATGGATTCCTTGTAAAATGGATCATGGAAGCACTTTGTTATGTAGTGCTTACAGCTGGCTGGAAGTGAATAGGGTAGAGAATTGATAGACTTCGTGATAAAACAGCTGTTTAAATTTTAAATTGGAAGCATTCAAACAGGAGACTAGTCATTGCAGAGCAGAACTTGTAACACAAACTTTGTAAAGGGATAGATGGTAAATATTTTAGGGCTTTGTGGGCCATATAGTCCATGTCACAACTGCTCATCAGTGCAGTTGAGAGTAAAGAAGCCATAGGGTATATGTCAGTGAATAAGCGTGACTGTGTTCCAGTGAAACTGTACTTACGTACATTGAAATTTGAATTTCATGTCATTTATAAATGTTACAAAATGTTCATCTTCTGATCCCTGCCCAACAACTTAAAACTGTTGAAAACTTTTAAATTCACAGGTCACGCAAAAATGGGGTATACACCGTATTTACTGAGCCTGAGTCTCAGTAAAACATGACATAACGATGGGGTAGAATCTGTCCCATGGGCTAATTTGCTTTGTATCTTTTCTTAATATCAAAAAAAGTACGAAAGAAAGTATAAGGTTTGCTTTATTGTTGAAGTGAGAGAATAATAGAGAGATAGTTACTGTAGTAGGATTTAATGGTATTAGAGCACTAATGTTCTTCAAGTCTCAGAATACAAAAGGAATAACACTAAGTTTAGCAGGTATAGTTCCTTAAACTCAGAAGTATGCAGTGCTTGGTGAGGATGTCTTTTGGATTTCACCACAGAACCCTTTGAAGATTCTAGCAGGATAGTTTCATAAAGCATTACTTAGAATGACTCCTGAGTGCCTTCTCTAAATACAGAAGAAAATAAAAGGAAAGAACCTACACAGAAATAGAGTATGTTTTATTGGCTTTTGCTGTGATGGATCTCTTGCATCTGTTATTTAGAGGCAAGCTTAAGTGAGGAAAAGATTGCTACTAGTTTATTCAGCATTTGAGGCGTTAGTGTTGGCAAGATGTTTGGAAATGTTGCAAAATACAAAAAGTTTTCAGAGTTTTGATCTAGGAATGTAGGTTGAGATTTTACCAATCTTACTCCTTTTGTAGCATAGCGAAATGCTTTTTCCTTACTTTGATTTCTTCCATTTTTTAGGGTAGATGAAAAAAAAAGTGACTAGCTTGGTGGGAAATAGTCCCAATTAAGGAAATAGCTAATGTTGTAAAGGATAGAGAAATTTTTTTTGAACCAGTTAAATCACAATTGATGAAAAATAGGTAGAAGAAAACAGGGCAAGAAGCAGTGGAATCAGTTATTACGGTGTTTTATTTTACTGAGTCCAAATGGAATTTGTTTTTATGTTTTAATTTTAACCCTGACTCCTTTCAAAATTTTGTGTATTTGCTTAACATCAAGGAAAATATTAAATTTTAGAAACAACTTTTGCTATATTAATTTTTTCTATTCATAGGTATTTATTTGCTTTATAAGTGTGAGAAAATTCAGAAGATGCTAGACGTCTTAAAGTTGCATAGTTTCATTTGAAACTGGTAGTTGACAATGTTTAAAAATAAAATTGGAAAAAAAATTGGCTGGTAAATGTAAATTTGCACTGTTTAACATACCAAACCAGTCGAAGTTACTTATTTGATCTTGAATAAATATCTTATGATCCTAAACTAACAAAGTGACTTTTAAGTATTTTAAAAGTACTTTGAAAATATAAGTAAAATTTTTAGCATTCTCGTCTCATATTATTTGTTTGGGGGAAATAAACTTCACCTGTGGTTTTCCTATGAAATTTACATATCTATTTGGCTAATAGACTGGAATGAAATTAAAGAAGCCTGGGGATTTCCATTGGAAAAGCAGAAGAATGGTCAGTGACATTTGACTGGAATTGATGAGTTTTGTGTATCACTTTTTTTTCAGTGAAACCAGCAGTGTGTGTAGCAGCAGTGACGCTGGGCTCTTTACCAATGATGAAGGACGGCAAGGTAATCTCTATCCTAGCTTTGGACTGTTGGTTCATTGTTTATGGGAAGATTCTACTGATTATAGAAGACTCACTGAGAATGCTGTGATTGTCTGGCAGTTCTTAAACTTTAGGACACACATGAGCCATGTGGGAAACTATTAACACTGCAAATTCCTGAGCTCCTAGAAACCAAATAGGCCTAGAATTGGCCACTGCATCTGCATTCTTCCTAAGTATCTGAAATGATTCTTATGTAGGTCATTCATATTTTGAGACTCATTGGTCTAGGGTAGTAATGGTAGAACCTTTTGGAGCTTTGATTGATAACAGTCAGCTGTGGCATGTGTGCCATAGGTTCATCATCATTGTTCTAGGGGGTTAAAGCGTCAAGACTGGGACTTCGGGAATACTTTTTCTTGGAACCATTGAATATTCTTATGCACATTCTCTTTTCTGGATAAAGTATTTTATTTTTACAGAGGAAGAATTTTACCTTACTTATAAATGATTATAGTGTTATTGTGTTTTGTTTTGTTTTTTCCGGTACCAGGAATTGAACTCATGACCTTGTGCTTGCCGGGCAGGCGCTGTACTGCTGAGCTAAATCCCCAGCCCCAATTATAGTGTTTTGGGGGAATATTTTATATAAAATGTCTTTCTCATTTTAAAATGCCTAGGGACTAATATAAAGCCCTGTGAGTAAAGGTAGTTTATGTTAATTACTAGCTCTTTATTTTTATTACCTAAGAGTAATTTGAAACTTTGCATTGGTATAAAACCATTTTATACAATTATTGTTCTCTAAACTTACATAGGATCACACTACTTGTGCACCAATAAGAATTTCATGTATCCTTTTCAGATTGTACTTTCTTAATCTACATAAGTAATTTGTAGATCTCTGAAGTCCATTCTAGTGCTGAAACCCAATAATTTTTCTGCAAGGGTTAAGTGGTTAGAGGACAGAGGCACAGTGGCTACATGTTTTGGTCAATCTAGTTGGGCTCCCAGTAATTCAAGCATCCAGGTCCTCTGGAAAAGGACTTTGAAAGGGGTTGTGGGGACAGTGTCTCAGCCACACCTCACAGCTGTAAGCATGGAGTCATTGTGCTTCCTCCTATAATGGAGGTTGTTGTAAGTACAGTTTTCCCCTCTGGTCTAAGAGAATCAGGTATCATAAAAGGCTGAGGATGTGCAGATAGACTCCTTAAGCTAGGGAGTCTTAATTCTGTTATCTCATACTAAGAAAGGGTGATTCTTTAACATGAATGGTCTGGTGTATACTCTTTATTTACTAATATTTGCCTTTTTTTCTTCGATTTTACTACTTTTTAAAGGTAATGATACACAATTATACAGCGGTATAAGAAAGGATCTGTTACAGCAAGTAAGGTTTTGAACTTTTAGAAAGTCTTTTCAGTAATAAGGACTGCTTGATTTATCATGAAAGATTATAGAATAGTTTGTGGCCTCAACTCTCCTCTTTTTCTGTGTCACATTTACATACTTAGTGATATGTAGATGCTTCAAGTTTTCTGCACAAAGAAGTGCTGTTTTCTGTTTCCATACCTTTGTTCCTGCTGGTCTCTGTCTGAAATCTTGTCCTTACTTTTCCTTCACTGGCAGACACAGGTCTTCTTTCACCCCTCCTGTGCATGTTCATGGACTACGTCAGTGGATTTTCTTGTTCACCATTTTTTGTTGGATTTAGCTAATAGGAGGCATCAACAGAAGACTGGAGAGAGATGAATGAGATTGCTTGTATTAGTCAAATTTTTGTGATATTGCTGCTTAACAGCCCTACAATTTCAGTGGTTGACCACATTTATTTCTTGCCACAGGGTTGTGGATTGGCTGTAGTTCAGCTGATCTTGCCTGGGCTCAACTAGTCTCTGGGCTTCAAGTATTATCTATTCCTTGCATCTTTTTTAGGCTAAAGAAGCAATGGCTATATGAGGATGAAATTCTCATGCTGAAAGACATAAATGCCAAGCGTCCAAGCCAGACCATGCATGCATATTTAAGCCTTTGTTTGAATCACATCTGTTAACATTCTGCTACTTTCAGCAAATTATATGACCAAGCCCAGTGTCATTAGGATGAGGAAGCATGCTCTGTCTAATGGAGAAGGAAGGTACTCTGCCCAGTAGCAAAGGGCAAGGATATGGATGAATTATTCTATTATAGGGAAGTCCTGAGGACATTGGATTATAGCTTTCCCTGGCTCCCTTTCTGCAGGATTACCTGTTGTTGATAGTTGTTTTATTTCTGTTGAAAATCACTCCTCCTGTTTGGTAGACTTTGTCCACCAGTCTAGTTCTTTCTCTGGGCTCTGATAGCCATTCTTTCCTACTCCAAGTGTAGCTCTGGTAAAAGCTCCCTGCTATGCTGGCTTTGTGCATAAGCATTTCTTGTTGGTTTTCTTTCTGTACCTCTGTACCCTTGTAGAGAGTCACTTAGTAGAAGTATCCTCAAGTATCCCATTTCACTGTGCCTGTTTCTTGAAAAGATTCTGACTGGTAGCCCTTGCTCTTCTTTTGTGCTACTATATTTTTGTGATACTAAGAATTGAATCTAGGACCTTCACACTGAGCTATGTCCTCAGCCCTGTTTTTATACTTTAAATTTTGAGACAAGGTCTTGCTAAATCACTAAATTGTTAAAGCTGGGCTCAAATTTACAATCTTCCTGTGTTAGCCTCCTGGAGTACTGAGATTATAGGCATGCACCACCGTGCCTAGCTTTCATTCACTTTTTTGTGAGAAATTTGAATATAGCAAAAAAAAAAGAGGAAAAAGCCCTCAAGAGTAACTAGTTTTGAAATAAGGAATATTTATAGTTTTGAATCCCTAAGTTTACCTACACCAAGGAGAATGATAAGGGAGGCAGTTTATCTTTGTGGAAAAGACCTCAGATTTGGAGTCAGTGATGCTTTGGGTTCAGATTCTACCTTTGTCATTTACCAACTTAACCTTGACTTCACTGGCTATTAGTTGCCTCATTGTAAGCTGGAATTAGTGCAGGGCTTGAAAGAAATAACATATTCATAGATTTTTTTTTTTTTTTAAGCCTGGATTCTCGTGGGTTGTAAGGGCTTAGAAAATGGTAGCCTTATTAAACAGTTTAGTCTAACAGTATGATATTCATGTGAAACTAGTATGTTGTTCCAGTTTTCATCATAATGTATATCAAGAAGAAAGACCTGAACAATTTTTTGCTACTTTTGTTTAATTAAAATATAGTCAAGAATGATAGTATTGAGAAATGATCCTCCTATTTGATTTTTTTTTGGTTAATATTAAAATTCCAGCTCACACTATGATCTGTTTGGTTTAGGGGACGATGAACAGAGTGATTGGTTCTATGAAGGAGAATGTGTCCCAGGATTCACTGTTCCTAATCTTCTGCCCAAGTGGGCTCCTGATCATTGTGCCGAAGTAGAAAGAATGGAATCTGGATTGGATAAACTTTCAGATTCCACATTCCTTTTACCTTCTCGGCCAGCTCAGAGAGGTGAGTTTTAAGGACACTAAAATACAGTTCATGCTTTTATGATTCTCTTTGACAAGAAACATCATGCCATACTTAAGCATGCTCATGTTTCTAAGCACATATTACTATCTGAATTGTAGAGCTAGCCAGGGACTTCTAGAGCAGTGACGGTGAACTTTTCAGAGCTTTCAAATAGCCCACTGTGGCACACATGCGGTTCGTCACATCCTAGAGGATTTAAGGGTGAGTCTCAGAGCTTGGGGTTCTGACAATTCCTACCTGAGTCAGTCCATGAGACTCTCAGGATGTGACAGTTGTTCAGCTTGCCATTGTCATTTGTGCCAGATTTAGAAAGGCTAGCATGGTGTTACAGCTGCTTGCCGAAAAACTAATGGGTTACTGAGTGTTCGTTGGAAGCCCAAAAAATTATCTCTTGGAAAAGAATAGAGTTCAGTAAGAACATTCATATATAAGATATAATGGCATTTTCTATGGATAATTTAAAAATACTTCTTTAAGTATTTTTATTTTAATGATTATGTTACTGCATATTTTAATACAATTGCACATCCTTTCCCTTTGTTCTTTCACTTGTGAGTTAGCAAAGTGGAAGGAGCCTAGGACAGAGAGAAGGAAATACCATAATCCTCCCTGGTACTGTCTTCTAGTTCTGTGGCAGTGACTAAGTCACTTTATTTCCTTGAGAGGTCAGGGTCATCATTTAACATATGTAACATTTAATAGACTTCATTAGCTCTGTAAGTTTATAGTACTAGGATTCCCAGCAACCAGTGATCAACCAGTCAGTCCATTTGTTGAGTAACATATGTGGTTAGAATTACACAAAGACCTATAAACTCCTACTTTGTAGGGTTTTGTTTGATTTAGGGTTAGGGTTGTGTGTTGATAGGCCTAGTCAAAACATTTGGTTCTTAGGGGCTGGGGATTTAGCTCAGCGGCACAGCGCCTGCCTGGCAAGTGCAAGGTCGTGAGTTCGATCCCCAGTACTGGAAAAAAAACAACAAAAAAAAATTTGGTTCTTGGTAAAGACTACTGCCTGGCTGAGTCACATTTTTTGCTACCTTAGTAACTTTTATCAAACATTTCAATGAACATTTCTATAAGTCCTGTGTGGACCACTTAAAATAGACTCACGAGCAAGACTAGCAACACAAAACTTCAAATGGCCTGTAATCCCTATCCAGAGACCCTATCATTGATAGTTTTTATGTGGATTCTTTCAGTTGCTCTTTCTGTGTGGGGGACTCACAGGAGTTAGAAAAACAGTGTTATACTTTGCATTTTCTTTTCATCATTATTTCACCAGCATTTAAATTTAGAATTAGAAGTTGTTAGTAATACCTTATATTCACATAGTGTTTGTAATTTACAAAATACCTCCTATTGTGCTTTCATTGGGTCTTAAAAACAGCTCCTGAGATAGAAACGAGCAAGTGATTATCCCTTTATAGATGAGGGTTCCCAGGCCGAAGGTGAATGACATGCCTAGGTTCATTCTTTAGTAGCAAAGAGATGGGAGTAATACATTGTTGGCAGATACCCTTGTAAAGATCCTAAGGGTAAGGGCTTCAGTGTACGGGAAGCGCTTGACGGCTTGTGGGTTTTCTGCATTGAGTAACCTAGGCTTTCTGTTTTTAGGATACCACGCTCGCTTGAATCGTCTACCAGGAGCTGCAGCTCGATGCCTCAGAAAGGGGCGAAGAAGGCTGGTTGGGAAGGTGACAGCTCTCATGGTTTCCGGGGCACGATAGGAAGGAAGATGATATTCCCTGTGGGGTTTGTGTGTCCTCTTGACAATCAGAGGCCCCACAGAGTTCCCTGGAGTTAATGAAACCAACTGGAATGTCTTGGAAGTTCACATGAGTAAACATTTTGTAGGATTTGATTGAATACACACATAACATAAAAAACTTAATTCACAGAGAAGTTCTGACAAAGACACTGTCATTACAGCCTGTCATGTATCAGTTCATGAGCCTACTGTCTCTTCTGCACCTTCAGTGAATCCTGTGGCACTGTATAAGTAAAAATACATTTGTTTTTTTTTTTTTAACAACTCCTTCTGAATTCATGAATGTAGTTTTGTTTTATCCTAATTTTGTTTTTTCATTCTAAAATTAATTTTAAAAATAGGGAAAAACCTCTCTCCAAATTCCAAGAGCCCCTCCTTAGCCAGGAGGGAAGAATTGCTACCATTGCTCAGTTCTACCTCTGCCAGGGACTGTACCAGGCACTCAGTTCATTGCTTCCTCCCAACTGCTTTGCTCAAGGTGACAGTCCCCTGTGGCAGCTGAGGGAAACTTAGGTTCAAAGAGGTTAAATAATGTCTAATAATGTCTGATGTTACCTGGATCAAAACGGCAGAATAGAGATTTGAACCTAGGGTTGCTTTATCTTTTAAAATTTTATTTTTTTTCCTTGTATAGCTTTGAGATGCAGAAGTAGCATAAGGCAGGAGCTCCTGGTCATAGAAGATATTGATGGGCAAAGAGTAAGAAAGAGAGAGGTAGCTGAGAATATTGTTTTTCACTCAGTAATCCTTTAGAATGTGTGTTGAACGCTGGTATGTAGTAGTCGGCCACGGTCTGCTTCCCCTTCAAGGTCTGTAGCTTTTTGAAGCCTAGTTGGAGACTTTTCTGAAGTTTGAGGCATGGAAAGAAGTGAAGTTTATTTCCAGACAAACCGAGATGCTTATTTCTTTAAATTGCAATTCAAATATCCAAGTAAAAGGCATTTGATTATTGAATGTCTCAGTACTTTACCATCAATAAAGTACTGCCTTTGCTGTTCTGGAAGCTAACTCCTAGAACAGCTGGCAGATAGGAGTAGATGGGGTTGAGGGAGGCAGCTTGGGAGTGGAGCATGGAGAGGTGATTTTACTTTTCCACTTTATTGGTTAGGAGGGCAGACAATGCTCTCCCTTGTATTTCCCTGGAAGTGAGTTTAGTTTGCAGGCTCCCTTCGGCGTGTGTGGAGGGGACTGCAGGCCTATTGGACAGGCCTCCAATGATTTCACAGTAGGGTAATATTTACTTGTTTAGTTCATCTTCATCACCTTAAAGGGATGTTTGTCATTTCCAGCAGAGGTCACTGCTCTGCCCTCCTGTTTTTCTCTCCCCTCATTTCTCTTCTCTTTTTCCAAATTGTAATCATAAATAATGAGTTCCATTCACAGCTCCCTGCCAGCGAGTTGCTAATTACGCAAAGTACTGCTTGTAATTTACACAGTAATAAACTGTAAATTTAAACAGTACGGCATTTTAAGTTAATAATTTTTCTGCTGTAACAAATAACTCATTTTTCATCCATCCCTTCCCTTGGCCCCCTACCATTCTGTGTCTGCGGTTAAGAGGCATAACTGTAAGGGATAAGGAATATGAAGAATGCAGTTTGTGAAACCTTTTCATTTAGCTCCATTCCTGTCCAGAATCTGAGCTCAAATTAATTTTTCTATAGCTAGTGGTTCTGCTAAAATGTGTACACTAATGTCTAGACTAATCTGTACACAGATGAATACAGATAATAACATTTGCTCAGAAACAAATGTGCTTAAGTGGCAGGCTTGATGTTCTTGACATTCATGCCGTTGACTTATGTTCTCTCATCTTAATCCTTGCTCCTATTGTGTGACTCTTATTCATATGCGGGTCGGTGTGCTTTCTCAGGTGCTGTGATAGATATTCATTATTAATGTACGCAAGTTAAATGAAGGGTGAGTGCCTTCTGCCACTTTCCAATTGTTTGGAGATGATTAGTTTCTGAATTGCATATGGTATTTGGGTAGGCTTTAACATTACAAGCTTGAGTGCCCTGAATTTACTGATCAGTTTTTGCAAACTTCTGTTTTACTTTGAGGTGATGTTTAAGGCACAGAAGACAGGGTGACAACTTTTGTAAGCTACCAAGATCCTTTAACATGTAGATACTCGGTCAGTAGATATTTTGGCTTTACTAGTGAGGACTCAGGTATCCCAGGGTCAGGGTTTCTGTGGTCACAGTCACACAGGTGATGGAGCTTACTATGCTGAATTGATAAAAATGGGCTGCTGTTGTCAGGTGTGGTGGTGCATGCCCATAATCACAGCACTGAGGGAGGCTGAGGCAGGAGAATGGGAAATTTGAGTCCTATTTAGAGATACAGTAAGCCCCTGTCTCAAAATTAAAAAATAAAGGGGGCTGGGGATGTAGCTCAGCATTAAAGCAATCCAAGGTTCAATCCCCAGTTGTTCCTCCCACCCAAATTTGACTGCTTTTTAATTTTCTAAAAAAGCTCTACTCCTTATATACTTACATAATTTCAGGAAGTGTTACTCACTATATTAAAATACCATATAGATATAGATATACCTTATATATCTATATATATACCATATATACTATATATACCACATATATATACCATATATACTATATATACCACATATACTGTATATACCATATATATATATATATATAAACAAATGATAAATATTTGAGGAGTAGGTATGACCTAAACAGTATAGGATATTTGTATGTATTGAACATCACATTATATCCTATTAACATGTCTAATTTTTATGTTTTTATATATCAATTAAAAATAAATTTCTTTTAAACCAAGTGTGGTGGCACATATCTATAATCTCAGCACTCTGGGAAGCTGAAGCAGGAGGTTTGCAAGTTTGACGCCAGCCTGGCCCCTTTAGTGAGACCCTGTGTTAACAGAAAAAATAAAAAGGGCTGAGGGGCGTAGCTTGATGTGAAGGCCCTGGATTCAGTCTCCAGTACCACCAAAAAGACAAAAGAAAAAAAGTAAATTTCACTTAAAATTTGAAAGTACTATGTATAGTAAATTATTTATAATAATTATGTATAGTAAACTATTTATAATGACTTTTTTGGATCATTAGGAATAATGAGGATCGCATATAATACCTTTAAGGTAGACTCCCACAAAGAACTATAGTTGCTTTTGAATTTTAAAATTGATGTTTGATGTGCACACTTGAAATTGTCTGGACTGGCACAATTTTGGGGACATGTGAGCTGGGTGACAGATTGTTACCCCTGTGGTTGATGATACTTTTGTCTACCTTGTGTTTCTAGGAGACCAGCGTATGTACTCTGGGTACTGAGAGGATAAGCCATATCATCAGTGACTCCCGGCAGAAAGAGTAAGTGCTGAAGTATTTGCTGGCTGTCCTGGCCTGTTCCTTGGAAATGTGGGCAGAAGGGGGTTTATAAAGCAACCTACAAATCAGCCTCACAGCTAAGAGAAGAGATCTTAAAGATTTGTACAGTCGGAATGGCTAACCTCCTAAAACCATGGCAATGATTTGCTTTTTGTTTTTAGTTTTTATTTTCTTGCCTTTTATATTTCTAAGTGCTACATTAGTAACTGCCAATAAGGCTTTTATATTTTAAAGTCATTTTTTGTCTCTTAAAAATTTTTTTTAAAAAAATAGTTTTTTGGTTCAAAATCGGTGATTGCCCTATTTCCCTATATTGTTTTCCTTTTTGTCCTAATTTCTGGGGTGGGTGCAATGGAAAACCTGTGTGTAGCTACAGAAGAATCACTCTGCCCTTTCTCATGACCACCCCCTCGCATGGTTGGCTGTGGCAGGTGTCCTTTCTGTACACACCATGGCCAGGATGCAGTTACAATCTTGTGCATATACTGTCTAGCCTGAGTTTCAGTTTACAAAATGGAAAGATGTACATGAGTTTGTTACTCATACAGAGTTGGGATCCTCCTGTAACATAACCACACAGCTGAAAGTGCATATCATGTGTGATCTTGGGTTTATTCTTGCCTGTCCAATTATGTACATGCCATTACAGAACTTTGCACCCTTTCATGAGTTACTTTCAGCAAAAAAGTATACACAGTTAATATCTTTTTCTTTCTCTTTTTCTCCTCTGCCATCTTTTCCATTTCTTTCTTTATTTTTACTTCATTATTCCATTTTTTATCTTCTGTCTTTTCTAATTTTTCCATTACTTCTTTTGTTATTTTCTTTCCTGTTACTTTTTGTCCTCTTTAGTTTTTGGTTACCATCAGCTGGGCAAAGAGAACGAAATCAGGTAAGATCACTTTTGCCATCTTTGTTTTATCATTTGATTTCCTTTTCTTTAGAAAGAATAAAGCGTTGCCGTCTGATTTTCCTCACATTTCTGCTTGTGCACATGAGGTAAGGCTCCCTCCTTATGTTGTTCTGATTTTCTTAGAGAACTGTTTTCTAAGAATATCTGTTACTCACTAATGAGAACTCTAGCCAATGCCCCCTTTTCAGTACAGTTGTGATTATCAGTTTCGTGTAACACACATTACAAGGAAATTCAGTTTTTACATTAGTTTCAAATTTTGTTGTAAGAAATCAGGATGAGTTCACCATCAGAATCCCATGTTATAAAGTTATAAGCTGACACCTAGACACGAAGCCAAAAAGGTGAAGCTGCTTTTAGTGAAGTGGGTCAAGGCCTGGGAGCTTGGTCCTCTTAGTCTTTTCCCCAGCTCCACCTGAGGGGGCCATTGGCATGTTTGGGCCTTTTGTGTAGGCTTCACTGTTTAAAGATAACTTGTAGTGGCTACTGTGATATTAACTTATGTTTGAAGCTTTTTCATTTGGAGGGTATAAGGATTGCTTTATCTTAGTAGTGAGTTGTAAGATTGATGAAGACTGATATGTAAAAACTCCCAAGCTTCCTGTTTGTTTTGGGAACTACTTAGTACCCAACTGAGCTGATACACAATTTACGCTTGGAAATTTCATTGTGAAGTTACTATTTTAAAATGAAGTGTAACCATGAAGATATAATGTATATATTTATGAGAAGATTTTAGGTGGCATATGGACACAATTTTAGTTTTAAATTTTGTATTATAATGTACATTATTAAAATGTAATTATTCTATAAGCTTATTGTTTCATAATAATAAGTAATAGTAAGACTGAGTAAAAGTAATGGTATAAAGAAAAATGCTAGATAAGCAGTAGTGCAGGTGAGTAGGCAGATAAAGAAAAAGTCATGAAAATGCATGTGAGAGACCACAGTTGGGGTCTCTTACGACAGAGCGCTTATCATGCTTGCATTAGAAGGTCCCAAAGCAGAAGGAGACCTGTGGCCATCATCCAGATTTGTTATGTACCAATGAGGAGCTGGAGGCCCGTAAAACGTAAAATATTCACCCAAAATTATGGCTAGTAGAACTAGGTCTGGAGCTTCGTTGGTAGATAGAACAGTTGCTTAGTTTACATTCTCTTTTTTAAAAATCAGATTTCATTGATAGATTCATCAGAGAATTTGGGTTTTTTCCCCATTGCCCTGTCCTCCTTTCAGTCCCTCCCCACTCCCCATTTACAAAACCTTTGTTTCCATGTTTTCCTTCTTTTCTCTTTCCCTTTTCTTCTTTTTAACTGTTCCCTTCTTTCTATATTCTCTTTAAGTACTTTTGAAGTTACCATTTGAAGTTCTTCCAGCCTTAGAATGCTTTCAGTTATGGACTTTCAGGGAGGGATTATTATAGGAAAAACCCAAAGAAAGCTAGTAAGCATAAAGTGAGTTGCTTTTATATGTAGTATCCCATTTGATCTTCATAACCCCCTTTTTGTTTTTGTGTTTGAATTCTGGGGATTGAACCCAGGGTTTCTTGCATGCTAAGCACATGTTTTACCATTGAGCTACACCCTTAACCCCTTAGAACCACCTTATGAGATTAATAGTTGTTTTACAGATAAGAAACTGAGATTACTAGCCAGGTATGGTGGCACCCACCTATAATCCCAGCACTTGAGAGGCTGAGGCAGGAGGATATTTGGGAGTTCGAGACCAGCCGGGGCTACAAAGTGAGCTCAAGTCCAGCCTAAACTGCATAGCGAGACCCTGTCTCCAAAAGACAAAAAGAGAAGAAAAAAAAGTAGCTGAGATTACTTTACAACCTGAATGTAATACTTCAGTTAGTCTTAAAATAGTCCTGTAACATAGTTAAGACAGATACCAATATATACATTCTGCACATGAGAATAATAAAGCTCAAAGAGGTTATTTAATTTTCAGTACAGAGTAACTCAGTGGTAGGCTAGGATTAAAAGTTAGGTATTTTAATTTTAGTCTTGTTTTACTATTGTACTGCTAGTGTGTGCTAACCAGTTATCCTTTGAAATATCTGCAAAAATAAGGGAATAAAGAGATGATTTTAATGCTGTTCTTCTTGGGGAAAGGGGTTGATATATCACTGTAATTATTAGGCATAAGTTCCTGTTACGTTTATTGGGAAGTACTGTCTTCTGCCATTTAAGTGATTATATGTTAGAAGTTTTTGAAAAATTGTTGCTCTAACAAGTAATAGTATTTTTTTGAGGTCTACTAGACCAAGTATACCACATTCATGAGCACACTATTAAATTTGCATCATTTTATTGAACAGGGTCTGTTTAGTAAGAGAGAACAGTTGGACAAAGAGGAAAAACAAATGGTACCTGCAGGTCCAGGTCTCTTTCAGTTAAGCCATAATAAAATATTATTTATCTCCACAGTTGAATCCCCTCTCTCCCCTTTACTCCCTGGATGTTCTTGCGGATGCTTCTCACCGAAGGTGTTCACCAGCACACTGCTCCTCCAGGTATTGGCTCCTACTGCTTATTTTCTTCCATACTCACTCTGTAATACTTCAGATTACGAAGTATGCTCGCGTGGAGGATCCCCTTTGATCCTTACAACCTTCAGAGGTAAGTAGACGTTCTACAGATGCAGAAACAGGCTGATTGTGCTGAGGTGTCTTTCCTGTAGTCCCATGGCTAGTTTGTGGTTAAGTCTCAACTGTGTCCTGAGTCTTCTGGCTCATATTTCATATCATTTCCATTGCTAAAATCCCCGTCTTCAAAGAATATTATTAATGTTCCTTACCGTGACCTGCAAACCCCTGCAAAATTTGATTTCTGCCCATATGTCCAGCCCCCTTTCAGTAATTCTTCCTGCCTTTCAGGGGGAAGAGATCTAGCTGCACCAGAGAGCTCCAGTTTGTTTTTGAGAAATAGCAGCCCTTTCTTGCCTTGGACCTTCACTCTTGTTCCGTTTGCCTGGAAACTTCCTCGAGCCTCTGCTTGTCTCAGCTGAAGTGTCACCTCCTCAGAGAGGACCTCTCAGACCATCCTGTCAAAAGGGATGTTCTTATTATCTGTTTCCTTTATAGCTCTTATCACAGTCTGTAATGAATTTGCATATTAAAAAGGTATTTTTTTCTTTTCCTCCCATGTCCCTCCTACAGAATATATGCTTAAAAGTGCAGAGACCTTATTTTATTCCTTGACAAATCTTCAGTACCTTGTGTGGCATTTGTTAGGCATTCAGTGTGTATCTGTCAAGTGAAAGAATCCTATTCCTCTCATTATAAATTCTCTTGATTTAGGTGACATGAGAAGTAAAGAAGTAAATGCGGTTTCAATGATAGCATTCCTTAGGGTTATTATGTACAAAAGAGCAGCTAATAGGCTGTACCATAGAACTTCTATGATTTTGGATGTACTGACTCTTTCCAAGGTCTTGATTTTCTTTCTATCTAGTAAGTTCTTAAATAGATACATTAATAGGTTTGGGGGCATAGGCTGCACAAAGAAGTTATTTTTTATTTGTATGGTTGGAACTTTGCTGTGGGCTGTAACGGTGAACTGTGAACCATAACCACTTCTAGATCTTTCTCCCGAAGAAGTAGTATTTGAGTGGGGAAAGTTTTGACAAGAGAGGCCATCATAAATGGTGTTACTAAGCATGTGGAAAATTGTGGGATCACGGAAACTATCAGCATAACCCTTTCTTCAGTAGCACTCTGTTTATTCATCATTCCTTCCTTCATTCATTTGCTGACTTTCCACTGTGTGCCAGGCCATTTATCTATACTCTCATAGGATAATGAGGTAGAGAAACTCACAGTTGCAAAACAAGTTTATAACCAAATATATATGAAGCAGAGGAGGGGTTCCTAACTCAGAGACCTCGAGGAGGTTTTCTTAGAGGTGGTCTTGACCTTAGGTCAAAATAATGCACAAGGTCTTTGACCTGTGTGACCTTAGAGAGGTCAAAATAATACACAAGATTTCATCCACAGGAGAACAGTCCTTTAACTTTTTATCTTGATGCCAAGCACAGTGACGGTGTGTACTCTCTGGGAAGACAGTGTGAGTAGCCCTGTGTCACATTCCATGCTCAAAAGTGGACTGCTTTGCCCTTCTCCCTTACCTCTTCTACCTGGACCTGGCTGTGCTGAGGTCAGTGTCACTGTTTTTCTCAGGTTTCTGTTTCTTTGAGAAACCTCATCCCCTGGCTGGCCTAGGTGGCAGCTTCTTGTTTCTTTGTGTGTTTCATTATCCCCTTCATTATTATTTTCCCCTCTGTTGCCTGGTAGTGCTTGTGGCTGAACTTGGAAACATGAGGAAGTCAGCTGAACTTCTGGTGTGCCCTGCTCTCGAGAAATGATTGCTAAAAGCAGAGGAGAGAAAGTATGGACAATTACGGATCATCTTTGTCCTTACTTCTTGACAGCATTCCCAGGGTAGTGGATACCAAGTGGGCTGCATACATAAAGGATCTTTGAGGTAGAAGGAAATTACTGTAAGCTTAATATTTATTTATTATTTTATCCTTGAAATTTTTCTGTACTTTAAATGATTAGTGTAAGTGACCTCTGCAGGTTTTAGACAATGTAAATGATGAATCACTGAGCTTTCAAGGCTGCTTCTTACTACTTGGGAATAGTGGGGTCCTTGCCCAGCCAAGGGTCAGTGGAGAGCGAGCAGTCTTAACTCCAGTGTAGGGGACCAGCAGGATGGGACTCAGAAGTGAGTAGTGGGTTCTGTGCAGATGGACTGCTTCACAAAGGCCTGGTACCAAGAAGAGAATGTGAAGGAACAGTGGCAGTAGGGAAGAGGCAGCTGAGTGACTGTATTAGAAAGTGTTTTGAAAAAAAAAAAAAGAAAGTGTTTTGAGTGAAAATTTTATCTTTTTCTTGTCCCATTTTATTTGTAGTAGGGAAAGATTTTTTCAAAGCATTTAGGCAGCATTGGGAATTTTACACCCATCATTAGAACCATTTGCGTGTGTGTGTGGTGACTATGTTATCATTAGTGGTGTAATTTTATTTTGCAAAGAGAGAAGTGTTTCCTGTTTTATCACAGCTTTCCCTGAGGAGGGCTGGTGTATTAATTTGCTGTATTGCCTCCTGGCTGTTCCCAGGCTGTTTTTCCTCTTCATCATGGAATTTTTAATGGCCCTCACGCCTCTTGGGAAGCATGTGAGGAAGAGCTCCTGGGGGAGTGCTTCCCTTTTTTCACATGCCTATAATTACTCTCCTTTAAGGGCACAAAGAGTCTGCTAATCATGCCTGAACTATGAAGGTTCCCTCCCGTCGGGGCACTGAGCTGGGGCTGCCACTCACATGGACACTGCCAGTTGCACTTTACCAGGTGCCCAACTCCTGCATGCACGCGAGGCCGCCTCAAGAGCCATGTACAGCTTCATTCTCAGAATAGGCCTGGGGTCACTGAGGGGCAATGAGTGGCCTCAGGGTGCGCTCTTGTTTAGTATTTCATTGTGATAAACAAATAAATAAATAATAAAATGATACATCAATACAGTACTATCTTAAAATTGTAATCCCCGGACTGCAATTTTAAGATAGTACTGTACTGACGTATTATTTTCATACAGCTCAGATGGCAGGGAATGGGAGGGTGAGTTTTGTGTTCTTCGCTTGATTTATTAATAGATTTGTGGATTAAGAAGTTTTTCAGAAGTGCCACTCTAGAAATACTTAAGTTTTGGTGCTCTTTGATCCTGGCTTCCCTTTGGAATTACATGAATAGCTTGCTAGGCCCCACCAATAGAGATTCTGATTTAATTGGTCTGGGGTGAGGCCCAGGCCTTGGAATTATTTTAAGGAACTCAGGTGACTAATACGCAGCCAAGGTTAAGAACTGTTGCCCTAAGTACGTATGGTTTTATAACTGGTGCTTTGTAAATTGCTTAACAAGGATGCCTGTTTCATAATTGGCATGAGCTCTGTGTTTTGGTCTTGTGAGCAAGATTCCTCACGGGAGGTAGGCCTCTGGACTGCTCTTGGCTTTGGCGAAACTGCAGTAGGTGAAGAAGAGTTTGTGTATAGCACAATGCCCAGCATGTCGTTACTGATAAATGGGGAAGGCAGAGGTTTGTGGGTGGATGTATATACAGTTGGGTGTTCGGATGAAATTTTTAAACCAAGTGTTGTGTTGTTTTGGTTGCTAGCATTGGCATTTGCTCTTGAAGTAGTAATAGTTGGTATTAGAATTGTTGCTGCTCAAACAGCAGATGGTGTGATTGGTGTTCTGATAGAAGCAATGGTACTGTTGTCAAGGGTACAGTCACAAAGTTGTAGTGAGGCTCAAGCTGCGGGCAGTTTTTCCCGATGTGAAAGGTTGATTGATTGTGAAGGATAGCTTTTCTTCCCTTATTACCTATAGGAAACAAGAACCAGAACTAGAACTGAACAGCTGCTACATCTCTGTTGTATGCATGCAAGTCACAGATGTCATTGTTTAGTGCTTTTGTGGCAGTATTGAATTTTCCTTACCTTCCATGATTTTTTCTCGGTTTTGGGTGGTGATTTGGTGGTGCGTCCACAGTTTCCATTTATTCTTTCTTATCTTTAAGTTGTGAAACGGCAAAGCACGTTTGATATCTTTTCACATCAGTCAGTGCCTTTGTAAATACCATGACTTTCATTTGAGAAATTTTATTTTCTGTTCCAGTAAGGACAGCAGACACCAGACACCAGACTGGTATGTAATTATTACACATGCTCTGTAACTAATGAAAAATCTCAGCTTCTACTCTTTTCTTCATTTTTCACAAGATAGTGGCAGAGGCAATCTGAGATTAAGAGCATGGCATTAATGTGAGACTGACCAATGTAGAGTCTTGCTTTTCCTGGGCAGACGACCAGACCTCTCTATTCCTGTCTCTTTCTTCGTGTTTGAAGTGGAAATACTAGTACTTTTCTTATTGGACTAGTGGGGATCAAGATGAAGTAGTATACATAAATATTTAACATCCTAATAGCTAATATTACTTTTCTTATATAGTTACTTTCTTAGGATAAATTGCAAATTTAAGAACTTTTGAGTTGGCTTGGAGAGTCATTTGCTGATAAGTGGCAATATAGATTCTTGGGGTCCTTATATGGCCTCAAAATATTAGAAGAGGAGGCTTTTGGACAGTGCTTAGGTGAAGAAGAAAGAGCCCTTCCTGCCCATTAGAGAGCTGAAGTAAGGTAGGCCAAGCTCATTGTAATTCATTTTATCTGTTCACAAGCGTTATGATCTGCATATCAGAGTTGTGTGCCCAGCTGGCGGTGCCATTTGACAAGGAATTTCAAAGAGCAAGAAGAAGACTCAATTCGTGCTATTAATTTTGACCTTTGGAGCCATAATAAACAGCCTCAGGTTTTACCCCAGGGCTTGGGGGAAGGAACCTTTTATTAGTCCTCTCTGCTGGGGATGCAATATTACAATTGCAGTGGCTCTTGCTCACCCCTTTAAGTCTTAGTTTCAGCTGTGTGTGAGGAAGTTTTTCTGCTATGATGTCCATAAG